CACGGCCTTCCATATGGGCTTACGTACCTCGCAAGGGCACGGCCATATCAGGACTTAAGGAGACTTTCCTCACAAGGGCAACCGTATTACATCGACGGGGACAACCGTACCGACAGCCGTAACAGCTCACATCGATAGGCTACATATTTCATGTTCATGCATAGATCATACCCACACGAATAAACACTTATCATTCATGGCATAGACGATTTAAATAAGACCCACCCGGTACAGCAAGGGAAAATGGCACACAATCGGGCGTAGGCAGCGAGCACGGCTCGTCAAACACCTACAACAATTATATACTAAGATCAACACCTACTTGACCTTAGAGAACAATCACAAGCTTACATTGGTCGAACTTGATTCAACCAAGTAGTTCGTGAAGTTCCGTGGACATTGGAACACTTGGATCCTACACATAGACTTGACCAAAATGCATAATAACATCACACATAGACCTTGCACGCAAAACAAAGTCAAACAGGTCAAAGACACACATAAGGGTTCGGGAAAAATATAAGGAAGGCTTGGGTCGGGCCCCGGGCTGCTCGCTGGCACGGTCGTGCGTGGCTGGGAGCTGTTGGGACGCGCGCGGGCGCTGTGATGCGGAAGTGGCTAGGCAGCTCAAGAATGCTGCGAGCCGGGCATATCACGCACGCAAAAGGTTAGCCCGAGAGACGGCAGAAGTGCGCGCACTGGAGTGTAGTGCGCGCGGGGCGGGCAAAGAAAGACCGCACGAGGGCATGCGAATGATGTACGCGGACGGCGTGCATGGGCAGAACGCGTGTAGCGCGGGGAAAACGGACGCACGCGAGGAAAGGTCGGGCGAACGAGACTCACGCGCAGCAGACGAAGCCCAATCCTTGAGGCATGCGACATGAGGCGCGCGACCCCAATCCTCGAGGAGTATGGACTGGCGGGGCACGACGCGCACAATAAAGCGGCGGGCAGCGATGACGAGCGCAACACGCCGGATGAAGGCACACGCGCAAGATGCGAGGCCTCAGTCCTAGAGGAGTGCAGAGAGAAGGACGGCCACGCACATAATATCGGCGCTGGAGGAGATGGCGTGCGCCGCACACCGGGCGCCACTACACGCGCGCGCGAAGGCGGCGTGCCCTAGTACCGCAAGGACTAGGTGACGCAGGTGGTTGGGCGTGGGATAAGGCGGCCGAGAGAGATAGAAAGAGATCCCTTGGAGTGCAATCCAAGTTATTTAGTTTCCATCTTGCACAATGATATCTAGCTTAATTAGGATACTTAATATTTTATGGCTTTCTTAGAGTTATAGTTATATTAGGATTAGATATAATTTGTGCCTATATAAAGGCCCTTCCCTCATGTTATTTTTTAATCATTCAAGAATTAATAGAAATCTAGAACTTTTGTTCTTCCACTTTGCTTTAGTTTTTCACCAAAATTCTATTGCAATTTTATTCGTTCCAAGAGGCGCTGTTGTGGCTCGAAGAACACCTATCGGCGATTCAAGGCGCGGGTTAGCGGCTTATCGGCAGTCGAAACACACGATCCTCATCATTGGTGCTTTCATTGAGAGGTGTTGATTGTGTGTTTTTCTTCTACCCCATTCCCTTTATTTTTCTTTTCATTTTTTCGTCCCTCTTATCAAAAAAATAAAAAATAAAAAATAAATAAAATAAAATTTTTGATCGTTGATCATCATCATCATCATCATCTTCAACCACGAGTCCACAAAGCAAAGAGCGAAGAGAGGAAAGAAAATCCATGGCCAACAAGGAGATGAAGGATAAGATCGATAACCTTGACATCCACATGCGAAGTATGAGCGAGGTGATGGAGGGAAGGCTTGGATCGCTTGACTAAAGTCAAAACAACACCAATGCCACCGTCACACCACTCGAACAGCGATTCGAGGAAGTCTTGCGCGCGCTCCAGTAGCAGCCCCCACATAATCGCGACGAACCTCCAAGGCGCGAGCATCGCCGACACGCCGAGCACGCCGATCGCACACCATCTCCATGGCGCGAGGATCGACCGAGCAAAGGCGTGCGCGCGAACATAATGAG